TTACGTCAAAATTTTCCTATTAAAATATGAACTTAATGTGGTCAGACTGCTTGCTTGTACCTTTTAGGAATAAACAAAGGGAAAGAAATCAATCCTTTACACATTCCAAAGCAAAGCTATAAAACTGTTTGAATTTAAAGAATACATCTTACACAATTTTGGAAACTTGGATTGTGTTCAAACACCTTTTCTCCCCTCCCCACCCCACCCCCAGTTATTTTTTCTTCTATGGTAGATTGCATTCTGTGTGTTTGGTGGTAGAGATGTTGATTTCTTAAGTTAGTTTTTAAGATCATGTAAATGAAGTTTTTTCATTTAACTTGGCTGTGGCAAAAGTTTATGTAGATATTTCTTAAACTGTTGTCAAAATAATTTAATACCTGAGTGTGTCATTGGTAAGTTTGTAAAAAATATTCTGTAAAAACCTCTGAAAAAAACTTTTCTAATACATTCGACTCTATTTCTGATTCTGCAGTTACATGTGGGTTTCATGCAGCCACTGAGAAAGTGGTGTGGAATAAATTCGCCAAAATTGCACGGTTCTTTCTTTTTTGACAATGCACATGATCACTGGTGTCACAGAACGTCATGTTTTTTCCTGTGTCAACTTGTAATTTCACGTATCTGCATACTGTTGCTTTCTGAAATGAGTAGAATTTTTTTCTCTCTTTCAAAAGGGATTATCTTTTGAGCATAATTGCTGTCACAAACTATGCTGCTTCTGGCATGCACTGGAACAGCAGTGTATTGGCCTGGTAATGTGTGGTATGGTCTGCACCTGAAACTTGAGAGCTGAGAGCGAATTTGGTTTTAGTTTTAGGTGCCAAATAGTAGGGCAGTTCTCACTTGAAATACATTTTCAGAAAGATGCTCTTAAATGATGTGGCAATTCCTGTTGATGAACAGAGGATGAAATCCCAAAATTGTTCTAGAAATCTTCATTGCCATGCTACACTGTTGCGCAGGGTTACGTTGAATTCTCTTTAAGTATTTTGGTGAGCGTTTCCTCAGCTTGCACTGACTTCTGATACTGTCTGATGGAGCTTCAGGGAAACATCAATACCAGGTGGGGAACTGGGAAGGCTGGGTATAGGGGACAGAAGATTGCTCTAAGGTGTGCCCAACCTGTGTTTAAAGTAAGAAGGATCTCAAGCTGGCTGTGCTTTAATGCATCTGAATGATTTCCTGATTGTCTCTCAAAGTTGCATTATATAGTGACCTATGTTCTTACTTCCCGAACCTTCTTTCAAATAAATCGCAGTTTCTGTTTGGTAATATTTGTTCAGACTGGTTTGTCTGCTGTTTTTCCTGTCCTAGCACGAAGTCTAGTTTTAGAGACAAACAGAAGCTCTTCCAGGAGAGCAAGATAGGCACCTGATTGGTTTCTCTGTATTTTGTATTCATGTGTGGTCCTCTCATTTCCCCGCTTCCCCACCTTTAATAGCTGTACAGTTGCATTTCACAGAGAAGTGGAATTTCCTTATCTTCTTTTGGTTTTTCCATCTTGCCTGCGTGGGTGGACTTGCAGAACCAGTGTTCTAGATCTTCCTGAATCACAACAAGCGTTGTTGCTCAGTATTGCAGATCTATTACTTTGAGCATTTGAAAAGGCAAAATCTGTTACTGGAAGAAGATTGAAGAACTGATGAAGGTAAGCCAGCTGCTTAGAACCTAGTTTTGAGACGAAATGTAAAAAGAATTTCCCAGATGAGTTTACCTGTGCTCAAGGCATTGCAGGAGTAGATTTGTTGCTGCTTTGCTTACGCCCTGCCTGTCAAGCATGTGACAGAATGAAAGTGGTGGTCATACACCATGCATGATGATTAAAGGGCATTTTCTTTTTTATAATTATACCATACATCACAATTTTGTCTTGACAGCAGTGTTAATTTATTCCAATATTTACATTCACATCAGCAAGATTCAGAAGTACAGCAGTGCTTTTCTCTTGCCCTTACCACAAGAGCGCACATCTGTGTATCAAATATATTAAGTGTCTTACTGGTTGCTCTTGCTCATTACAGAAACAGTTCATAGAAACAGAAATAACACTGTGAAGCACCGCAGAAGTCTGCAAAATACTACAGCTTTATTACTAGAGGTTGGATGCTGTTGGCAATCCATAGGCAGCCCACTCCTGTACAAATGCTGTCCACTGATTAGATGCACACAACTGTTGATGCTAGCAAAAGTGGGCTGCTGCATTTGTGGTTTTGGCACATTACTTTTCTGTTAATTTATGACCCATATGTTGCAATGCTTGACTGTTCCAGTTAAATATTGCCAGGCTTTATTAATGGGGTGGGAATAGGTGTGTCAGACACAAGTTTCTTACATTCTTAATATTTTATTGACCAGAATGGTGTATAGGCTTTGATTTTTAGCTATTTTTCTTTCCAACAAAACTCATTTTTCCCCATAAAAGTTAAGCACAAGAGGATGTGTAGTTCTGAGTTCTGTCAGCTCTTTAGTTTACGTACATCAAATTTTGACTTTGTCTTCCAAAGTGATGCAATTAGTTATGCAGTATCTTAGCTGTAGTTCAGCGCATCATACCTGTTTCATTTCAAACACCAGTTTAAGAGACAGTATAGAAGCTACAGTCATTGCTACCTCAAGGATAGGACTGATGTATGCTCCTTTACTTTTTTCCCTTATTAGCCAAGTAAGTTCTCATGTTTTGCTACCTTCACCATTTTCTTATTTTTATTAGGGTTTGGAGTATTCACGTTTCAGCCTTATCTGTTTTGCAGGTTACTTTCTCGGTTCATTCAAGTGAAGTCATAGCATGTGAAGCACTCCATTTAGACCTATGAATAACTGACACCAAAAGACCAAGCAAGTAGAATAAACCAAGAGAGAGCCTTCTGAGTTTGACACCTGTAACTAGTCTTCTGGTGGCAACTTTGAGGAAGATTTGATTCTTGTGGTCACAGGGAAAGAAGGTCCAGCCACAGGCATGTAATAAATGATGCTTAATAAATGATTCCAAAAAGCTGCCTTTATGTGTTTGCTTTTACTTGTGATTGCTCAATTAGATTTTGAAAAGTAATAGGGTGAGTCTCTAGATGTGCTCCTAGTTTTCCACTAGTCTTCCGCACTTGCGCAGGTGACTTTGAATTCTGGTGCTAACCAGAGGGACTGAGTTTTCCAGAGAGAGATAGGGAGAGACTCTTCTGCTGCTCAGAACACCCTGGTGCATCTCAGGCATGTCCAGGGAGCCTTACAGGCTTCTGTTTGCACAGTCTGTGATTTTAAATAAAAGTTTTAAATGGAAAATACAGGGGAAAGGTAGGCAAGAGGCACCAAACAACCATTTCTCCACTTGCAAAGTATGATCACCTTTCTGTTGTGACATTGTTTGCAGAGACATGTAGACTGGGGATTTGAAATAGGATTGCGTACAAAGTTGAAGCATCACACCGTATTTCAAGCTGCTACAACAAATTAACTACTTAACACTTTGCTAATGTGTGTACACTTGTTGCCTCCCAGCATGAAAATAAAGCAAGTAATTGCAATAAGCTTTCTGCCCGGTAGAAGTTACTATAATACAATGAGAAACTTTGTCCTGCACTTTGAGTAAACAGAAGCACGGTGTTGCATTAGATACAGGAAAGAAAATTTAGGAGGGCTCCATGTCCATCGCCGGCAGCTCAGGATGCAGTCCAAGCCGATGTAGTGCCGTTTCTCTCTGGTAACATAGCAACTGGACCACACCT